GTGTAATTTTTAGCGAGCCAACTACAGTAGTATTAAAGACTTTTTTGACTTATGAATATTTAGTATTTATACTATTAAATATCCCCATGATTGAGTTTATAATATGTCTTGTTGTGGGTTTAGTACTCAGACGTTTTAAATCAATATAGTTATCTGAAATTTTATTTTATTTTATTTTTTACAACAGAAGTCTGTATGGAAATAATTTTGGAAATTGTAGCTTTACAAATGTACTTTTAACCCCCCTATACCTTCATTGTGTAATCATTTGTAATTTGTGGGTTTAATCAAATGTATACGAATGAATATTTTACTAGAGGTACTCTCTATGTGGATCTATAGCCTCATAATAGGTTTTTGCATAAATTAAAGTTTTAATTTTAATTGATTGCGTATTGTTAGTAAGATAATTTTGAGAACCTATGATATTTTTTAAGTGAAATACAAATGCAAAAAAATATACTTAAAGCAAAGACCATTTTAGTTTTTATTGTGAGCTTTAGATTAAACGGAGGCATTAAAAATGCATAGTTTAATGTACTGTATATGTGTCTGGTGCACACAGGAACAATAGCCGGACTTGATCCATTTAAGTAATAATATACTTCAACTGAGAGACAAGGTATACAATCCCCTTGTGATCTACTATTGTACATCAAAGGTTTTTGAAATGAATAACTAAACATTCTGACAGTGCAATTGTGAAGCTAACAGATATTTGTATTTAATCATATCTATTACTTTTGAATTGTTGAATTATACATGAATGTACATTAATTCATATCGAATTCATAATAATATTATATATCATAGTATTATATTCATAGTGATTTAAACATAAATATTTAAACAAGTTGTTACTTAAGTTAGGTATGTGTATAGTAATATTACCTACTGCCTCAACTTTTTAATTAAAATTCTGAAAAGTTCAGAATGAATACGTTTTTTCTATGATTTCGATGCCAGCTATAGTAGGTCCAACTAACTAATTAAAACATTAATGTAAAACGCCTTTTTTTAAATTCTTATGGATTAATATTTTTAAAAATAATTTTAGCTGTAGGTAATAAATTAATTTAAATAGCACTTAATTTTTTTTTTGTATTGTATTGTTTGTCAAACAATTCTGTTTGTATGAGTAATGCTACATTAGTTTTAAGCTTAAGACTTTTAAAATGTTCTATTTTACCAAATAACAATAAAATATTAAAATAAAAACAGAGACTACAAAAATCAAAATACTTTATTGTACCAAAATCATACTGGACAATGGTAATATATACCATACCGGCACCATACCATAACCAACATGTTCATTTTCAGTCAAACCATTCCAGAAATCAATTTTTGTGTCATAATAGTATTATATTGTATGAAACAATAAATGTATGTTAAAACTTAATTTATGAAAAGTACCTACATATTAATTATAAATTATTTTAAAGTATCGTTTCTCTATTTGATTCTCTTGACATAATATTATCATTGAAATGATAAAAAAAATGTGATGAATTTATATTAAAAAGGAGCGAGGAAAAAATAAGAATGAAAAAAAGTCAAAACAAATAATAGAAAAAAGTGGACAGTCAACAGGACTGGGTGTTTGGATGTTAAGCACTCTTCAAGACAGTTGTATTGTGTTTTTAATATAAGTTTGAAACTAATGATAATAATTACATTCAAAAAACTTTTCCTAGTGCAGCTCGGATTACTAAAGCAATTTTCAAATGTTAAGTGATCACATTTATCACATCAGATTTGAGAGTACAGTTTTCTAGATTTTCTTGTATTTAAGTAGAATTTAATTATATTTAATACGTACAACGTTCTGCTCGTAATATACAATAATAATTATTTTTGTTTTGAATGCAAACATTAAAATTAATCATTTTGTATAAAATAAATGTCGATAAAAGGATTCATGAAACTATAATGAGTATTAAAATGTATTGTATTTTATTTTAATTATTAAATTGTATGCACCGCGCAGTTTAATTCACGTACCATTGTACCAATAGACATTGTAGCGTATTATTCTTAATTAAAAAAAAAATATAATTTCAATAAATAAGATTTTCAAGCTTAATGAATCTATAATATTAAATATCTGTATAAAAATGTTATTAATATTGCAGTCAAGCAAAAATATTTTATAAAAACTAATGTTTGTCTGGTGCTCATTTTTAATCAAAATTAAGAAATGTTCATTCAATAAAATTTGTGTTTTTATAAAAAATGTACGTTCTAACTACCTATACACTCTAGATTACAGTATTCAACTATTACATTTGTTTACTTAAAAACTGCTAAAAATGTTTTTTTGAAACTAATGTTTGGCTTGCAATTTTTAAATATGGGTATTGTGTAAATGAGACAAGAAGATTATTATAAATATTTTATTTTTGAATCGATTTACATGTTTCCACTTTACACCATTTTTTAAATAACATTTAAATAATCGAGTTGATTATTTTGATAAAAATATAATCTTAAGCAAATAAATTGCATCTAGTTGAATACATATATTTATTATGATTAAAACTAAACATGTCAAAAAGTAATATTGATGAATGGACAAGTTACAATGGTACCTATTTAATTTTAAATTAACATGGATAAATTAGTAATTTTTTTAGAACAGCTATAACTACTTTGTGTACTACTATTATGTAAGTACTACCTATCTTCACAAGCATTTATTTTTTTGAATATGTCACTGTTTGAACAATAAGAACACATGGTTTTATAAAGAAACAAAAACGTTATTAATTATGAGAACTCAATAATTATTATTTACCTCTTCCTATTTTCAATCCTATATAACGTAAATTTGTGTTATACTCACAAACTATTTTCTCAATTTTATTTAATTCCCGCTTTCAAAATAATTACTTAAATGACAAGGTCACTTGTTCTATGTGTGGGTGGGTTTTTTTATACTATATTTAGTTACACAACCTACTTAGTTCAATACAATATAATATAATATATTATTAGAGTAATCAATCTTTTTGAGAAGCGCCATTGCTCTCTGCTCTTTGTCTCTTTTCCGAAGGGTTAAAACTTTAAGTCCCCGGTATACGTTCAGCGTTCATAATTTGAAATTATCGAATCCCAGCGGATATAAGTCGAGCCCCGAGGGTAGCTTCTATAGCTAATTTGACCATTCCAGTGAATTTTATTGACCGTAAACAAATTAAGGGGGAGTTTTTGCGAGCATGCCGTTATTAACATATTAATGCTATATTACGAGTATTATCAAAGAGTGGGGAAATTAAAGAAGAAAAAAAAACCATCTACATAGCCACATAATATAGGTCATTAATTTTCGATAATGTTTTTGTTTAAAAAGTCTGCTAACTGTAAAATATATTTTTTTTTTATCCAAAGCACTGAAGTGTGTTATTATTATATTTCGTTTTTCGTTTAATTTCTTAGATTATTAGATATTTTAAATTTCCGCTTTTAATAAAAATTTTACTATGGTAAGGTTATTTTCATGATTTGGGCCCTGAAAAAGAGTCTGAACATTCCACGGACACTGCAGCATTCCTCTTATGCATCTTCATAATTTCAGCATTCTGTGCGGATAATAATATAATATTTAATTGTGAGATGAAATTCACTCGTCTTACACATACCTACATAGATGTCCTTGTTTCGCTATTAATAGTAACCACGTGCAGTCAATCTAGATGAGCATGACCGATACTTATATACGATTTATTGTGGTTTCTTCGTTTCTATTTAATTTAGGGTCGTACCATTTTTCAATTGTCTTCTCGTTTTCGTCGAGGTTATAGTGCTGTTTTATTTTTCAGCGGTTTTACCATTTTATTTTGGCTGTAAGTTTAATCAAAAAATGCTTTACACTGTGAACAGATTTGTCCGTTAAACCTTGGGTTTAATATGAAATACTTTAGACAAGGCTAAGCCGTTTATGCGACAACCTATCATTTACAAATTTTAATATTTCACTCTATTGTTTTTAACATTATTACTAACAATCATTAAGTATAACAAATTAAGATAGTATCAAGCTAACTACTAAACAGATTATAGAAAAACCATGAAATAAAAGCACAAGACTTTATTAAATTAAATTCTATAACGTAAAAAAATGATTTGTGTAAAATAATTATATTATTATATAGGTAATATTCTAAATTTCAAAACTGAATTTTCTGAAACTCCAATAATGTTATTATTTTTTTGTTCATAAATTATTTACGATTTTAGTGATCGGTGAATCCTTAGAGGAAAACTTGATTTGGGCCCTGAGATATTTGATGGCTTCAAATAAACACGAGTTGGGTCCGCTGTGTTATTTAATAACACTCGAATTGGGTTCAATATAAATTGTATCTTATTGCATTGAGTATAGATAGTATCTATACTCAATGCTTATAGTTAGTAGTAGGCCTATATAAGATTCTTATTATGGTTTACCTATACTGGCTGTACTATTAATGAGTGAAAGAGGACCTATGGAAGACTCACTTTTAGAGAGTCGTTAAAAGAGTTTTTCGAAGATTTTAATACGGGCGATTGTATTATTAAAAAGTCATAATAGCGATTGAATCAATACAATAGGTGCGTATGATGTTAACGAAAAAAAAAATACTGTTGTTCAAATAAATATAGGGTTGGTCAAGTAACAACGGGTAACCGCTAACCGTGTACCTTTGCGGTATTTCAATAACAAAACTATATTATGATAAATAGTTACATCGTAATAAATAAATTCATACGTTATGGGAAAATACTGTTTTAAGATTTTTGAAACAACAAGGTCCAGGTGCATATATTTTGGATTCTAAAATCGATTTCCAGAATTGTTAGGCCTTCCCTTAGTATTGCCGTCGACCCCCCCCCCCCCCACCCAGCCATTGAGTTAACCTTGACACAAGATACACACGTTTATTATTTAAAAAAAAAATAATAATAATAATATTGCACCGTCGGAGTTACTTGATTTTTGTGTTTATATTTGTATACAGGACATCGTGAGGCACCATGGCCTCGGAGGTCTGTTCCGCGGACTAGAGATGACAGTGGCCCGGGAGATGCCCAGCTACTTTTGCTTCTTCGGGGTGTACGAGGCGGTCCGGGAGGCGCTGAAACCGGCCGGTCGGACCCGTGCCGACTGCGGCCTGCTGGCCACCACTGTGGCCGGGGCCGCGGGCGGCGTGCTCCTGTGGACGGTCACGTTTCCGGTGGACGTGGTCAAGTCTCGGATACAGCTGGACGACGCGTTGCCCACGCGCGGCTGGACCATGTGCATGTTGCACATGTACCGGAACGAGGGCGTGGTCGCACTGTACAGCGGACTGGCGCCGACGCTGGTCAGGTGCATTCCATCGTCCGCCGTGCTGTTCCTCGTCTACGAGTACACCAAAAAGCTGTTTGACACCTAGGCCAGGAGTGGTGGGGGGGAGGCGCATCGAAGAACGTCCCGGAACGGCCCGCGAGACACACCTAGAATTGAGGGTGGGTTCTCGAACATCCCAAACTTTGAAAAATTCAAAAAGTTGGAATTAGTTGAAAGGTTAACATTTTTGTATTCGAAATCGAATACTTTGAACTCAGACATTTCAAACGGTTCGAGAAAAATCGAATTGATATCGATACTATCATAAGTATAATAGATACCTATCTATTTTTTTTTACGCATCAAATTGTGCACCAAGAACGTTAATAATTAATTGTTATAACTTTTTCATTAAAATAGGGTACCTATATTTTTTGTTTAAAATTAAAACGGACTCGTGAATGAAATTTAAAGGTCGAAAGTTCGTAAGGTTCGATAAGTTTGAAAAAAGTTCGAATAAAAATGGATTTGAGTTTGATCTTGATCAGTTCGGAAAAAATAACAAAGTTCATACTCTAGTGACAGCTAGTAAAAATTTTGATGTTTTACCCATCCTTACCTATAATACCTAACCCTAATTATTATACTTGAAACGTTGCCCGAAAGTGGAGGTGCGGTGACGCTTTGAGTGGCTTTATATTGTACATAGTAGACGCGATGACAATACCTATAGTTTTAATTACGATTTTTAAGATTTTTTTCTATACACTCGTTTATTAATATCATTTTATTTTTTAGAAAAACAACATACATAATATTACTGCATCTTTGTCCTTATAATATTATATGCTCGTAAATACGGTGTCAATATTTATAGATATTATAGTAAAAATACTATGCATGATTATGTTTTTTTTTACATTTTTAACAATCTAAGATTAGACTGATATGATATATTATTGTTGTGTGACTAAATATGTCCGTATTATATCTTAATACTAGAGCTATAATAGGTTACTTAGGTTAAAAAACCGACTGACGTTAAGTTATAGTTTTTTTTTTTATGACTTATATGAAAGGCAAGTAAATTTCTTCTAATTATCATAACTGTATTTTTTTTTTTAATGTATGTATTTTTCGACTAATAAATTGTATCATCAATTATTGTTATTGACAATAACTGACATAAAGACAGCGGGTGATTTTAAACCTATATTATTGTACTTATGTTATCAAATTTTTAATTATTGAGGTTTTATTAAATTTTTACGGTTTTATACATTTTTATTAGGTAAATAAAATGTTTGATTATAACTGTATTTTTTTTAACCATTTTAATGTGAAGATTTTCGAGTTTTCATAATACATATTTTTAAATAAAATTCTTTCTTACAGCTAATATAATTTAAGATCAGATTTTACTATAAAGTTTTATTTAAATAAATATATGCTATGTAAAAATATTCATATTTGTAAATACATTTTTAATTATTACCAAAATGAAAAATTATGATCGGCCAAGGTGCGAAAGTTATTGATAATTATTATAGTCATAGACTGATTATCGAAAGAACGTTTCTTGAGAAATTAGTTCGACTTACTAATACCTAGTTAAAATTACCCTTTAAGCCTGGTATTACCACTGATACTTGATCAATTACAGCGTGCGTCATTTGTTCTCATAATTAGCCCACAAATAAAACAACAACTGAAAGTAGGTAATACGACGTTTTGTTAGTAATTTTAATGTAAGTATTTCGTTAATACAGCTGTAATCATTAAGTGGATGGACAAAATGTATAAAAATGGAAGACCTGAATATGACGGATATATACTGATTCTTAAATCACTGTAATAAGGGCACCCGTCGGCCGTCTGTATTTCCAAACAGAGGAGAAGAACCCGTCAACAATCGATTTATTTAAAGTCGGACTGATCGGCGATCTGAATAAAAATAGTTAAGATAAACACTTGGTGAGATGATTAAGACATGGTGCAACTTCAGTGCCAATCAAGATTCCTCACCACAAAGACTGGCGTCTGGATTCCCATCGGCTACCTATCACAATATGTCAATACCTATGTAAAATGTGCATACCTATCGAGACCCAACTCGGCATTCATGAAATCCTCGTTAAGCCAGGTCCCACATATATATGTCATAATCTAATTCATCCTATACTTATACCATATGATAAAAAATAAAACCATTACAAAAATCTGGCAACACCAGTCATATAGCTACTATATATTGTGTTTTTTCATCTTAATTATATACAATTTGATACCTACTTAAATATTGTATAAGCATATTACTTTGTGGAATACTTTTTTGTTATAGTTTAGATGATAAAATACAACTTATATGTACGATCGAAACTACATTATGTAGGTGTGTATGTACATAAGACATAGCCACATAGTTTATAAATATATAATATATTGTATGTACAGATATATTATTATGGACATAGATAAATAAACCATGGTAAATACCTAGACGTATCATCAATTATGCACCTTCAAACTTAATTGTTTATGTTGGTTGAAGACTGAAGTTGATTACTTAGGTACACCAAGAAGTAGGCACCCACTCCTCTTCCTATTTTAGGGATAATGTTAATACCGTTCGACGTAGTCTTGTCGGCTGCCACCTACACGGCCTCAGAGTATTTCACCTTGTTTGCCGTTGTCGAAAACTATTTTCAAATAATTACTACCTTATCTAAACCTATAACCGTATTAGAGTATTCAATCGCCACTAAGATTGTAGGATTTTTTTGTTCATTTAATTCAAATAAAACGATGAAAACGAATCGTTACATATTACACATTTTTTTTTGTGTTCAAAACAACTATATAATATGATATATAAATATTTCAGTTAAGATATTCAAATAGTTTGTACAATTTTGAATTTTGATTGGATGTGGATATAATATAGAGAAGACTTTTGAAATAAATGGACCTGTGTAGGTTTGAAAACGAATACGGTAAGATACTCAGTTAGATAAATACATATATATATGCTAAATAAATATACACTTTGCATAATATAAATTTGCATATGGATTTGAGAAAATACCATCGAATATTTATTCAAATTATTACCTATTTTAAGAATAAAAATGTAAAAATCATTTTTCTTGGGGCAAAAAAATTCCAAGTACATAATTTCTGAATTGTATCATCACTGGAGAGTACTTATCTCTCAGACGACGTACCTACATCTTAGCACCTAAACGTTAAATATACTGTTTGTCACCCCAAGTCCCCATACAATTTCAATAGAGATTGTAATTTATACAGCACGAGCATTAGTTTGGATATGTTATACCTATATTATAATAATGTGATAACACAGTTTTCAGGGTAGCCACGTGGCAACGACCCCATTATGTACATTGCAAAACTGGGAGTAAGTCATGAGCGCCCCGGGGTCGTTAAATGCACACCATAAGCATCCGGAGGGATTTGGTCAAAAGCGCCCCAGAGATTAGAATGCTAATATCCAATTGCAGCCCGAATGTGCCGTTTAACCGGATGTAACGTAGTTGCCTGTTGTTACAACAAATATGTATTTAAGTATTATAGTTATACAATGATAATTATTTACGTAAAATTACACCCAGTAAGTCTCAAATGGAAGAGTACACACAAAAACCCTATACCCGTGGAACGTAATTCATAGCCATATCGATTTGTTAATTTATATTGTACAATTGTACATAGTTCATCGTCCCTCGGCTTTTGGAACCGTCTGTTGGTAACTTTTATTTTTTTTAAGAATAAATTAATAAATAACAGGGATCATTTAAGTATAGGTAGGTAGGTACTTGAATATAGGACGTGTGTTTATAATAGTTTCTAAAGATTGGATTTTATAAGACTCACTGTGACCCGGTCTGTATAGGGTATTCCTTAATAAATCATAGGTACAGTAGGTATGCCATATAAGGTACCTGTCTACTCATTATTATTCTACATTGATAGCGATTTATTTATAAGGGTGGGCAACGCCAATGTGTAGGTACCACTCATAAATAATATATGCAATAATATAGGTAGTTGTTGGTGGAATTCGATAGAAATATTGCATGTTATTTCTGCTTCTGAGTAGATATTTGCATTATCTATTAAATATGAATTACAAGTAGGTATAATCTACCTACACATTCACACAATACCTATTGGTAGTAGGTACATGACAAACCATATTATACTTGCACCCAGAAGACATACCATAAATATATGTGTAAGGTAGGTCGGGAATTAATAGTGAATAAGATATTACAATTTTACTTCATGGACACATGAAATTGGGCTGTGTACGAGTTGATTCCCGGGTACCTGTTTACCTGCACCGACACCGTTGAGTTGATTCCCTGGTCATTAGAGGGTACGTACGAGTTGATTCCCTATTGTTGCATATCAATTATCAATAGATTGCAAGAGTAAAGAGTTTACGACAGTATATTAATTAAAGAGTTTGACCGTCACACACAACTCGCTCTTATATCCACCGAGACCACGCGCGAATTTACAAAAAAAAAAAAATTTAAGAGAAGAGATGTCACGGTATACTGGTAATCTCATTACCAGTTACCAATTTATAAAAACAAAGTGTTACAAATTTTTACCAAATTACTAAATTTTTTTATATTTTTTTACCTAGTTACTACTAAATGTTTTTAATAATAATATAATTCAATAAATAATTAATAAATAAAAATTGAATGATTTTCAAAATATGAAAAACCAAAAAAAACAACATTTTTGAGAAACTTGTCAGCCAACCTCCTCGTGGTGTTTCTTGGGTTATGTTAATAGGCTGAATATTTTACTAAATATTGAATAAAATATATAATGACCCGGGAATCAACTCGTACGTACTTCTTAATGACCCGGGAATCAACTAATACACGAGAAAGGTCTCGGGAATCAACTCACTGAAATTGTTAAAAACATTTTGATGAACTCAAATTTAATTGCTAATGTAGGATGGTAATAACTAATAGTTGTCTACTGGAACTAAGAAATCATTATTGATAAGAGAGACGTCGGTGTTTCGTATGTTAGAAAACACTAGGTCTAGTTGAGAGTTGGAAGTATTAAAAAAATTAATTTTATTGACGAAATTAAGGAAAATAAATTTAAGATAAGGCAGTCGAAAAGTTCATCGGGATTATTTCTAAGTGTCTTCCTTCAAATTGCAGTGAACTTTTGCTATGAAAAATATTTAGGTAGGTTCTTCAGGTATATTGTAATCAACCATAATCAAGAACTTTATTTTATATTGCAGTTAGATAAAATATTAGGTGAATAGAATGGACATGTGGGGGGGGGGCTATAATATTTTATTGCTAGGGCTAGGGTATTACTGGGTATAATAAGTTTGATATTTCAGGGGAGGATGAGCTTCAGCTCTAACCCCCCCCCCCCTAGATACGGTACTGGATAGTAGGTTAGTACCTACTTAATACCTATAGACTCATGTACGAGTATGATGATGTATTCTACCTCGATTACGACTATGATGGCAAAAAATATTTTATTAAAAATACTTTGAAATTTAAGTTGTATCCATCAACAAAAAAAAGTTAATATTTGTAAAATGGAAAATTAATTATTCATTGCACTTCGTGGTTTGGTAAGTCAGTAATTGTATCTCATTCCATGTGCAGAGAAAAAATATCCCGTTGGTGCAACACACTCTATACAGTTTCCAAACACAAGTATCGAGAACGATACAAACTAGATAAAATTTAAATCCCATAGAATTTGTCCAACGCGATTCAAAGCCATTAAATGATAATACAAACTTTGCCTAGCTCGTATAGAACTGGGTAGGGCCACATATTAAATTAAAACAATAAAACAGTATCGCGTATGGTGCATAAACTGCAGCAGGCTGCACCATTAAACATGTCCCATACACTACAAATAATGTTATTTCACACAATATGATGCTGAGATGCTAAGATTATAAATGCAGAAAGATACTTAGGTGCCAATATAGGCACAGCTGTACAGCTGTAGGGCCCTTCCTTAGCAGTGGGTCGGTAGCTATACATTTCAACTAC